CTCCTCTCAATCACGGAGGCGCGCGTTATCGCGCCGATCTTCCTATCCAACGCTCCCTCTCACGATCGTCAACCCCTTTTGAAACACTAGAGGAGATTTTTCTTGGCGCGCAGTCGATTCTGAGAGAATCATCGTCAAAAAAAAAAAAGAAAGAAAGAAAGAACGTACTCGACATCAATTATCGAACTGAATTGCTTGGCGTTTCTAGTTTGCTCGACAATTTTGTTACGAGGTGCTTCGTCAAAATTTAATTCGATAAAGCTATGGATTGGGATGTTGGATTTTAAGAAATATGTGTATTTCGTTAAGATATTCTTTGTTCGAGAGTCTTGGAGTATTTATTTGAAAATTTGAAAAAATTGATTTGTTACGAGATTATTAATGTGTTCGAAATTTTATTAAAAAAATATATAGAAGAAAAAGTAAAAATATGAGGTACTTTTTTCTTTTGTATTTTGATTTAAAAAAATCAAAAAGAGAGACAACTGAATGAAAAATCAAACAAACGAGTGAGAAAATTTTATATAAAATATGGCATATAAATGTTGTAAATAACTTAAGAAAACTGTAAATTTTTTATTCGAGAAAACATTAAGTAATTGAATTCGCAATTCATTTTAGTTCTTCAAGCCTTCAAAATCTAACTTCTTATTTATTCATAAAATTTCAATCCATCAAGTCCGTTATTAATTTTTACACATACTATAATCTAAAAACGCAATATATATTTCATATTCTCGTCTAAATTGATAAAAATAATCCTAGAACAAGTTTCTTTCATTTCTTTTGAAATGACAAACCAAAATAAACTTCTTTAATATATACAAAATCTTCTTACATGAAGAAACGAAAAGGAAACATTAATAAACAAGAGCGACTGAATAATGCGAAAGGTCGTCGTAACATTCATTTTATTTTGTCTTGAATTCTTTTTTTTTATTTTAACAAACGAAGACATTTTAAATAGGAAAAAACCATAAAACCACAGTATAAAATTAAGATTAAACGTAAATGAAAATAAATATACCAATAATTATCATTCTTTCATACTTATGTATTTTGAGAAATATATATTCACATTTCAATGATAAAAGAATAAATTTGAATAAAAAAAAAAAAAAATCTTGTGCAGTATTAAATTTTAATCACTGTGTTAACGATTTCATTATTGTCTAGAAATTACGTTATCTATTTATTTCTATATCTAAATTAACGTCTCTCGTGTTTCTCTTCGTTATCTCTTCTACTAATTAAACTCTTCACAATTTATACTATTATATACTTTTATTAAAAGTATTCAAACAAGTTGTAATATATAAAAATAACTGGCTAACAAAGTTGTCTAACAAACTACAATAATAACGTTATAACACTTTATTAAATCGCGTCGGATTTCAGTAAAATATCTATGAATATCAGAGATCTTTTTTCACGCGCGTAATATTTTTTTTTCTCGAGAGAGAGAGAGAGAGAGAGAGAGAGAGACCGCAAATGGCGGTCGATCACAAATGATCGTCGTCGTGACAGGGAATGTGCTAATCGATTTTTTATTATCATTGCGAATATAGAAGTGCGTATGCTCGTTTCATTCACGTCAGTTTAATCGTCCCCACCGTTATGAGATTTTTCACAGCGTCGAAGAGGTTCGATTCGCGCAATAAAACGCGCGAGGCTATTCTCCTCGTGGCAATCGATACGGAAATTTGTTGCGTATCGATGACAAACTCCGTTGAAAAAACATTGGTGTACATACCTTTCAATTACGCGAGAACAATACGGTTCGGGGAATAAAGTCGACAATTTTTCGTTGGATTAAATCGGTTATTCAACAACACGTGCAAAAAAATATTATTCAAACGCGTTTCGAAAGTAAGAGTCAACGATTACCCGAAATAAGATTAAAATATTTTTTATTTTTTCTAATTTAGAAGACAATATTGTTAAATTTTTTATACTGTAAGTAAATTCTAACGAAATATTATATTATATAGTTTGTCTAATGAATTTTAATAAACTTGAAATTTGTTGTTAGGTTAGGTTAGATTAGATTAAATTCTCTCTCTGTAATATTTTCATTCACGAGTTATTGATTGCAAGATGATTCATTCGTGACTTTTTTTATCGATAAAAAAACAATTGAGAAGGAGAATCAGAGAGAGAGAGAGAGAGAGGAGGAGAGAGAAATTAATTTAAAGAAAATGATCGATATGTATTAAAGCTTGTCTTAACGTGTAATTTAACCCTGTAACGAGTTCCATACAAACAGATTGGATAAGAGTCAATTATTTTCTGATCGTAACCACACAACCAACCGTTGGCTTTAATTAGGAGAAATTAAAGCGATACCAATCCAACATTCGCTGCCGGTTGACAAACCGAATAAAATCCGCTGATCCAGAATAGGCAAAGGGGAACCGGTTTCATCGGTTACCAAAGTTGGTCAACCACATCGATTTATAACCGTTCTTATCGATCTTCTCGTGCTTCCATCACTCGTGTCACGATAACTGATCGAATTTTTGTGACTTATTTTTCATGACTAAGCACAATTCAAACGATTATATTCACATTGATATTATGAATTTATATACGACTACTAATCGTATAACCTTCAAATTAATACGAAAGAAATTTTGATTAAAGCGCATTATTATTTATAAAGTTTGCGTAAAGAAAAATTAATTACGTTCAAATTTAGTTTATATTCAACCGGACATATATATATATATACGCATAAATTTTGCTACCTATCGCGAAATGAAAGGTGAGAGACGCGATGTAAGTCATCATCTACTTCCGATACTGGTTATATCTAACGGTTGTCTAGCGATCTAGATTCGTCCAGGACGAGGTTATGTTTTCCTCGTCTTGTATTTCAACGCATGCTTCGAGCTGCTTCGCTAAACGATTATCCTACTTTGGAACGAAGAATTAAGATAATGGAGAATGAGAGAAAGGCGAAAAAGCGAAGAAGCAAAAAAAGTTTGCCTATGAATTTGCGAGCAATGGAGAAAGAGAATCGTAAAAGAGGAGAGAAGAAAGGCATAGAAAGGGTGTATGAGAAAAAGAAGAGAGAGAGAGAGAGAGAGAGAGAGAGAGAGAGAGAGAGAGAGAGAGAGAGAGAGA